CTTATAGCCATTGACAAGGGATCTTTTTTCATGCCAGCATCTACGTAGATAAATATACTACGACATGGGATCTCGGTTTATACGGTCTCATCCGAAGAACCAGTTCACCCTCGTCCCGCAGTCAGATTCGGACCCTCGACGTAACGATCAACTCCTTATTTCGAATCTCTAGAACGAAATTCTCTATCCACACGAGAAAATTCAAATTATACACTAACACATGATTTTCTTTTTCTTTCCCATTTCTGCAAGAGCAATCGATTGCAATCATCGGTCTTACAACCGATTATGAATATTGTTTAAAGTGAAGTCAATATGAGTAAAGTCGTTGAATTCCCAAACGTACTATAGTCTGTCAGAATTCCTTTCACAATTGACTCAACTATACTTTTTTGTGAATTCGCCTAAAGCAAAAAGAGAATGTAACTAGATGAGATCTCGTTGCGAGCAACGAGTAGGTCTTCCGTCCGATTTTTCGATAAGATGAGATACGATTTTGACTATGATCTTTGTTAAAAGATAATAATATATAGACTTCCCTAATTAAATTTCATTCTTTTGATTTATATAACATTATTAAAAAAGCTATAGATGACATGCTTTTGGCCCCTCTCAGCCCCTAGTTTGAGGGGTCAGCCCCTTTTTCTTGATATCAATTGAAAGGTCTTGTGATTTTGAAAACGTTTTGTTCAAGAAATATTCAGAGATTTCTTTTCGTTGTGGAGATATGCTGAATGGAAATATTTAGGGGCCACCCATCCAAGTCCTTAACGGGGCCGTTTGACAAAAACTGAAAGGGTTCATATTGTTTAGAACATTATTTTGACCAACTTTTGTTCAGTATTGCTTATCAAAATATTCCCCCTTTTCGAGATATAAAGCGTCAAAGATTTAGCATTCTGGCCCCTTGTGACCCCTTATTACGTAACATATGATCAGAATCTTATCAGATATTGTTGTAAATCGTTAAGATAAGGATCTTTGCTTCAGTAATGTATTACAAATTATTGATCGTTATAGAGTTATAGATGAAAGACTTTTGGCCCCTCTGAATCCCTAATTTGAGGGGTCAGCCCCTTTTTCTTGATATCAAATAAAAGATCTTATGATTTTGAAGACTTTTTGTTCAACAACTATTCAGAGATTTCTTTTCGTTATGGAGATATGCTGAATGGAAATATTTAGGGGCCACCCCTCCAAGTCCTTAATGGGGCCGTTTGACAAAAACTGAAAGGGTTCATATTGTTTAGAACATTATTCTGACCATCTTTTGTTCAGTATTGCTTATCAAAATATTCCCCCTTTTCGAGATATAAAGCGTCAAAGATTTAGCATTCTGGCCCCTTGTGACCCCTTTTTACGTAACATATGATCAGAATCTTGTCATATATTGTTGTAAATCGTTAAGATAAGCATCTTTGCTTCAGTAATGCATTACAAATTATTGATCGTTAAAGAGTTAAAGATGAAAGACTTTTGGCCCCTCTGAGCCCCTAATGTGAGGGGTCAGCCCCTTTTTCTTGATATCAAATGAAAGGTCGTATCATTCTGCACAACTTTTCTTCTATATGTTTTAACAAATTCTTAGCAGGTATGAAGATATGAAAGAAAAGGTGTAAAATTTTGTGAGATGTTTCTGAGACATTTTTTGAGCCCTACCGAGCTTCGGCGCCTTTTGCGCTAGAGAGATTTGGACACCTGCCTGCAAATCTACCAACCTTCCCCTACCCTCACTGAAAATCTTGCCTCAATATCTTAAGTCGTTTCGGAGGAGTTTCCAGGACAAGCCGACCCTCTAAAAATCAGAAAATCCTAAATATCTCAAGATAGAAAGTGACGTCATCAACGAAAAAAATTTCCAATAAGGTTCAGATCAATACCTATCAGATCTGAAAGTTTCATGAAAATCGGCCAAGACGTTTTCGAGAACTCGCGTGCACAAAATCGGTAAGAATAATAATAATAATAACTAGAAACTCATTGCGAGCAATGAGAGGTCTCCCGTCCGATTCTGAATATAAAAACGAAAATTCAAGCTGAAAAAGTGATAAAAGAAATTCAGACACTCTGGAGATTTAACCCTGGTCTTCAGCGTGAAAATCCAACGTGCTAACCATTAACCATTCACTTTTTTTGCATCACTTCCTGTCACAACCGGAAGTAACGGCGACACACGATTTTCATACGATGCAAATAAACTGATGACGGACTGTCAATCCTGAAAGTTTCAGACGTCAGTCGTTCATTGTTGCCGAACAATTGTGAGAACAAATTCTAATTTTGAGGACAGGAAAACACGCAACTGGAAGTGAATTTTATAAAAAAAAATCTCTAACGTGTCTCTAGACATTTGCAGTATCTACAACATGTATTAAAACATTTCAATTCTTTTTCTTTAAGCGATATTTATGAGAAAGTTAAATATCGAAATTATGTATTTTATCTCCTAAAACCGGAAGTTGACGATTTTGTTTCCGGAGGAGTCTAACATATTTCAAAACAGCAAAAGAGATGCAATAAGGTGATGCAAGTCTTAATTTAAACAAGAAAAGTTGAATTTTTTTATTTCTTTGATCACTTCCTGTGACGACCGGAAGTGACGGCTGACAGTTTAACCCAAATAATTTTGCCTACTCTTCAAGGTCTATTACTCATATAAGTTTGTTGTCTTAATCTCCTACCGTTTCTGAGATCTCGCTCAGATATTTTCTCACTTTGAGGACAGAAAAACACGCGACCGGAAGTGAATTTTGCAAAGATATTTGGCGTTACTCTAGACATTTGCAATCTGAATAACATATCTAAAAATTATTTCAAATACTTTACCTATAAAAGATATTTATGGGAAAGAAAAATACTCAAATTATGTAGTTTTTCTCTTATAACCGGAAGTTGTCGTTTTTGTTTCCGGTGGGACCAACATATTTCGAAACTGCGAAAGAGATGCAATAATTTGATGCAAGATTTGATTAAAAAAAGAAAAGTTGAAATTTTCGATTTCTTTGAACACTTCCGGTGACGACCGGAAGTACTGACGACGAAAACCAAGGTAATTTCGAACATCTAGAAGTCATGGTCTATCATCTCTAATAAGTCTCCAGTTCATATCTTTAGCCGTTTCTTAGATCCTTCGAGGACAAAATTTCATTTTAAAATCAGGAAATTGTCCATAACTTGGCACTGGAACCGAATTTACCAAAAAACGGAATTTTATATAAACTTCATATAAAGACCTTTTATCCCTGAAAATTTCAAAGAAATTCATTGAATAGTTTTCGAGAAATCGCGTGCACAAAATTTTGTCTAAAAAAAAAGAATAATAATAAGAAACAATAGAATCACTATAGGGTCTTCCGTGGAGACGGAAGACCTTAATAATAGGGAAAAAGAAACCGAACGAAAACAATAAGGTCTTCCGTTGGAGACGGAAGACCTTAATAATCTTTCACTTTCGGGTACTGTTTATCATCAAACCCGAGAGCGTGAAAGTAATTTTGTGAACTAGCATATATATATATATATATATATATATATATATATATATATATATATATATATATATATATATATATATATATATATATAACGAAAGAGTATCCAGGATATAGCCTCTTTATAATCCGGTGAATCTTAATATGGTTTTGATATAACATGGAGAAAAACCATCGGCTTCATGATGTTTCACATGTTTTTCTTACATAAGAATATATTTGTTCAAATCAGTTGAAATCAAACTTCTTTATGGCTTTCTCTGAGAGAATTGATTTCAATGCCGGATTTTGAGAAAGTGAAGCTTAGTATTCTTTGTCATGTACCCGACCAAAATTTCATCTTTATATTTAATGTTTTATGGATTTCTGATGCTTCCTGAAGTTATCTGCAGGCTTCAAGAGTAACACTGTGCTTCTATGTGAAGATGTTTCGGTCTGCAAAAGGCAATGACCTTGTATTAAGAATTGTTTTATATATGTTTACATTACAAAGCTTTGAAGTCGTCTTGACGTCAGTATACATGTGACTTTCAAATTAAAGTAGATACTACTAAATCATCTATTACTCTTTCAACAGATGGTATAAAAACAAATGGTGGACGTTTACATTAAAGTCAGTAAATATGAACACACGATTTATTTGTCAATATTTTTGAAATATAATAGATGTCTGTTTATGTTTATTCCTCTTTGTATGTCTACTCTTACGATTAAAAGTGATTTATGGTTATATTGAAAAACCAGTTGAATAAAAGCAGATATTCATAACTTGGGATATGATCGGTGAGCTTAATAATCGGATGATTTTATACATGTACATTACGCCTTCTTTTAAAACCCTTTATAGGTAAAAACGAATATAGAAATCTACACAAACGTTGGGTTGAGGGGATTGATACACGAATTAGTATGTCCACTTTCATGTATTCAGATAAACTTTTGTAAGATTTATGCTTCTAACAAATAAATAGGGCCTATTTTTGCTCAAGAATAACTTCATGTTTTGAACACTTGTCACAAAGTGAATGTTCTGAAAATACAATTCTTTTAGTTTCGTGAATGATGTGTAAAAAAAAAAAATTACAAGAACCTGCAAGCTCTTGGCAACAAACTGTAAATGGCCGATTTATTTTCTTCGCAACGGACATGGGTGCACTTTGTTGTACATATCGACATAAATCTGCTTGAGCATTCACTGAATAAACTGCAAATCGCAATTTATAGTGTTATAGTGTTACGAAGACGAGACGTAAAATAATAACCCTCAACATGTACCAGGGTTAGCGAATATAAATCAGAATATACCTGGAGAATTGGGAAATTGAAGACTTAAAGATGAGAGAGAGTTAAATATCTATACAGGGAGAGAATTGTAATTGTAAAGCATCACAATTTATATTCATTTTTTATTCAATTTAAGCAAAACATTTATACAAATATAATCAAAGAATTTCATTTTTTAGAAGACATTGATGTTTCATTTCTGCACTCTATTTCAGAGTACAATGAAGTAGACACATAACACACATTATTCAAATACAAGCAGTCAGAATGTATGTTAATTTATATGTTGTCATTAGTAACATTAGCAAAATGATTTCAATCAGAAGAAAAATATCTAATATTTCTCATAAATGTATATTTACGGCGTTTGTGTTAACTTACAAATTAAATGTAAACAATGTTATAGTCAGTGTGAAAACAAGGCCGTTTTCCATAAAAGAATTTTAAACGAGCTAAGTTTTGATTGCTTTTGTGTTTGGAGCATGCATATAGTATTAAGGTATATTCAACGGTTACCAATTACACTTTTTAAAAACAGTACCCATCACTGTATATATTTTACAGGTTATCAGTTTTTCCAAATTTAATAATAAACAAATGTTTATGGTGACTACATGAACATTGCCCGAATTCATCATTTTAAAACTCGGTGACTGAAGATACATTTTATCCTCTTGACCTTGTTTTTACAATTATGGACAAGAGTCTTGACATACTCTTTAGTCACATAAATTAAATTTGAGTGAAATATAGATCATTGAATTTTTATGGCCATTACTCTTACACAAAGGGTTTCTATAAAGGACATTATTTAGGTTTCTTACAAAGAAAAGCTTGGGTTAAAATATTTTTAATATTATAAATAAGTCAGAAATCCATTTATTTATTATATATTATATAATTAAAACGTTGAAACTTGTTGTTATTTTTAGAGAACATTAAGTTGCAAATTATAAGGTAAGGAGAAATAAATATGGCAATCGACTACGAAAGGCATTAACTTTCATGGATAGCAATAGGCCAGCACAGGGACAAAGTCGATGTAAAATCACTAGATAAGTGTTTTATTATTGATTAGTCTCATTCAGTGCATAGCTTTAAATAGTTACGAAGAATGACGCGGGATTCTATACAATGGAATTTTGTAATGATTTAATGATAACATTTGGTAGAATTATAATCTACATTGTTTATAGTGATATGGGTAATGTGTAAAGATAATGAATGAAATGAGTGAACTTTGATTCCTATAAATTTTAGACTTAAACATAGACAAAGGAATGTAAGTATACATGAAATTAGAAATAAATGACAGCAGATTAAGATTGCACATTGGTAAAACATTTTGACACACATGGAAAATGTTGCATAATCGTCAATCTATGGAATGTGAACTCAGTGACGCATAAGAAGAAACTTCGAAGACACGCAAACTAGTGATGTAAAACATCAGTGTGTCCATGGTAAACAATTTGCAATAGGACTGAAATGATGAAAATATACTTTGTCAGTAATTTCTCATTCAATTTGTTTTATGTCATAAACACAGTACAACTAGACAATTCATCAAAATGTAATCGATATACGATTGATTTAAAAAAAAAAATACTGATTGAAATTCTAATTAATGAGATACCCTTGTCATTACCAACTGACTTACACGCATTCCATTTTGCAGACAGAGAAGAGTCTCATTAAGTACTCTCTTTCAAATTTTGGCATCTGCGTTGTTGGCACAAGAATATAATGTCCCGGATCAAGGAAAAAGCGCCCGGATGTCTCTCTGTATCTTGCATATGTTTCCTCGTTTTCTGGCATGAGTGGGTCATTATTGTCGAAGAACGATTTTCCAAGGGCCCCGGAAGGTTTTGAATACAACTATGATATCAAGGAAAATGCAATTTAATTCATTGCTTTCGATTTTTATTTATGGTAAATTAAAAGGAAATGACATCATGTTTTTTAATTGTACCTGAAATATTTCGAAACCGATTGCATATAATCCAATACTGTCTAATTTTTCATGTCTTCTGTATACTTGCAAAAGGGAAATAATCAATGGAAGACGTCCATTAAAACGTCTCTGGACCATAACTGAAATCAATTAAATGTTATTGGTAAAACCTTTTTTTAAATAGCAGTAAGAGAAAAGTTTTGGCCCTTTATACAACACAAAGTCTTCTCATATTAGTTTAACATGTAATAGTATAAGTGTATAACCACAAATGTTTGCTTTTGAATAACGGCGTTGAAAACAAATATAAAAAAAGGGGGGAAATAAGTATATTATCCTTTGGTTAAACAATATTCAGACAATGTTTGAAGCTTTTAAATCACCTAATCATTCAGACGTTTTTGACATAGAGATTATAGTGTCAACAACCAGTCGGTGAAGCAATATAAAATCTAAAATATGAACTGTTAACATAAGCTAATGCTGACCGTCAGTGTGAAGAGTAATGAGATACTGAGGATTCTGGTAAAAAGATTCACATTCCAACCATCCACCAGCATTCAAACCAGTTTATGTAATGGCTTCGCTATTTAATTGAATTAAAATGACCGTGCTCAAATATATACATGCTCTCAGGCCTCATAAACCCAAAAACTAGATTATTGTTTTTAAATCTTCATCTCCTAACTGTACACCACGATAAATTTAAAAAATAACTTTCAAATCATGGTATTTTAAAGCAAGTATGAAATACAGATTTTCAGAGTGGGTGTGTGAATTCCAAGAACCAACTTGTGATTAGTTGCATCTAGAAATTTGTTATGATGGATTACCTGCTCTGTCATTTATCCCATCATGATCAAAATCCGGCGACAAATTACACACAATCATATTGCAATACTCCCGCCGAAAGTCGTTGTAGTTCATCCAGAATTCGCCATCGTCGCGTGAAAGTAGTTCCAGCTGATCTTTAACGTCGTTTGTCACATGGCCCCATTCTTCACTCCTTTACATGAAGTTAGTAACAAAAAACTTGTTTTTTTTACATAATATAACATATTTATACAGTAACTGTATTTATTTATATTCTAAGTTTTGTTTTATGTGACGCTCATCATATTTTACGCATTTTAGGTTGTGATAACTACGCTTTCTTCTGACTAGAAAACAAACTTACCCATCTCCCCATGCGCCATTCCATTCAGTATCACCCCAAGGGTTTCGGACTCGGATCAATTTTGCTGTCCCTGATTTGTACGGGATTTCTTCCACAGCAGTAATCACGTAAGCACGAAAGCCCAGAAGGCTCATTCGAGATTCGAGTTTCGAAATACGAGATTCGAAATACGAGATTCGAAATTCGAGTTTCATTCAAGATCCAAACTAACCAATCAGGCGATTTAAGATTCAATTACTTCCCTTTGCTAAGTTTTGACTTTCAAGAAATCGTTGAATATATTCAAACCCAAGAGGTAATTTGATTATATTACAATGCAAGAAAGAGTGTTATATATCAGAACAAAATTAGAAAAAAATATTGGGTTTTTGGTCTGCAAAATATGCTTGAATTTATGTATAACTTCTTAAACATTAAAATAGATTTATATCAAGAATATCTATATAGTATTATCTCCTTTGCTTACAGGTTTGATGTAATGATTATAAATATTGTTAATCGGATTCAAACAGCAAAGGGGGAAGGGGGGGGATGGGCGTATGGTAGTCGATGAGAATTATTAGTGTGCAATCAAACAAGTGACTAACGATTAATAATAAAAAGTAATACTGGTTTCAACAGGTCGAGGAATCTACCTTGTATGGATATTGTTGTCGTTGCGCAAGGCGGTGTTTACTGCGAACAATGGTCCAATCCAATGAATGAACAGAAAAGCGTGCTGGTGTACTACATGTTTACATTTTTCTTCAAACACGTGGTTTGGGCAAATTTACGACACGATTTCAAATGACTGGTCCAAAGTCAACTAATAACTATTTTCTACGTCTTTGTTAAAAATATGAAGATTATGTACTAATTAAGATTTCCCATGCTCATCACATTAACAAACAAAGCCAATTTTTCGTGTTAAATACTTCTTTGAAATACCGCTCACAAAGTCTTTACTAGTAATAAGAATCCAAGTTTTACAACTTGATATTCGTACATTTGCCATGCTGTTGGTGTTATTTGTCGTAGCTTTGTAATTTGTTGACTGAAATTAAAAGTTAATGCATTTAAAAACATAAGTTTATTGCTGCGCGACATGTACCTTGGTCATAATTAATAGCTTATATATCAAAGTAGTATACGTAGTAAACAAAGTATCTCTAAACCATTTCAAACTGTAAATGGCCATCGGAGGTCATTTATGCATGACATTCACCTCAGAGTAAATTCTTTTGGACGATGGAAAATTGATTCACTGACAGTACAGCACGGGAATGCAGGCAATTGTCCACAAATGACGTACAGTGGAGTGGAGAATTCCCAAATTTTACCATTGTAAAACAATTGTTTGTAAATGTGAGCATGGAATCAGTAGATAATGATGTACATATTGTATTAAGTGTGTAAAATGTTTGAAAAAAATGCAACATATTTTCCGAGAGCGATTTAAAAAACTGGCCTTTTCAAAAACATACATGTAGTATTTTTTTTTGTAGTAACCCATAATGCAACTCATTTAGCTGATTTGTCGGTTTGTCAGTCACATCGGTGTCTCATTTAGCATGTAAATTTATTCTGACGTCACAGAAAATAGTTTCCTCGACCTGTTCAAAGTGGATATAGTTTGTGACAAGTTTTGAAAGTGACCAGTGACTAATACGGATTTTCAAAGTTAAGCGTGCAATAAAACAAGTGAATAGCGATTAATAATAATAAGTAATACGGGTTTCAAAGTGGATATAATTTGTGACAAGGTATTAGAAAGTAACCAGTGACCAAGTATGTGAAACCAAGAGACAGCCCCTTAAGTACGGATGGCTGAAATATACATGCTTAATAAAGATAATGATTTCTCTTTTTTAGACGTTATTTTGAAAGGACACAAGCATAAAGTTGCTATTTTTTCTATTGTATATTATATCGATAAAAAATATAAGGGGAATGGGGGGGGGGGGACACGTGCCCAGAGTCCTTTTGGCTATGTTGTTTATTTTATTACAACGGTAGACAAATGTTCGATTATCAACATTCAGTGTCAATCTTGCGATGCATGGGTAAAATAATTATATATTCGATAAATATTTATAAGGAAACCGCTCGGGTCTCGCAAGATACATAATCAATCAATACACAAGTTTCAATACATGATGTAATGTCCATAGAGAAAAAAAGATATAAAAGTATTTAATAATAAAAAAATTATTATTTTAACAAAACAATGGACCCTTTAGGACTTTGAAAAAATGATATAGCCTAAAGGAGTACGTATTAAAATTACTTAGTTCATGTATGCCTTTTTAGTGTACACATTAAATCTTGAAAGACATCGTAGTAGTGATAAAGAAAAATCGCGTTTGCTTTCCCAATGGTGTATATTCCATATAGGCAAAAATGCTGTAGCCTACACACCATTTTCTTAATGTTAAAAAAATATTTATTTATACATGTATTTGGTTGAAAAATGCGGAAAATTTGTCATAAATCTTATTTTACCAGCTACTAGAATATTTTCCATCAAATGCAATAGAAGTATTTTTAGCAATCCACACTTTTATGCCTATCCAATATTTACAGTAAACAAAACTTTTGAATTTTATAGCTGGTTAAATCGAAAATGGAAAAGTAAAATCAGACTTTTAAAAAATGACAGCAACAGGAGTCTACGATTAGGACAGGGAATAGAAATTAGGAAATACTTTTGGATTAGTATAGGAAGTCAAATACAAAACTTTTAAAAATTATATTTAGATTATTCAGTAAAAAAGTTTCCATAATTTACAAGCACTGCATGTGGAAGGATTTTAAAATTTCTCAAATTTCTCAATTTTAAGAGTGGCCATGCAGATTTTAATTTTTGTATCATAAAATATGTTTAAATGATTTATAATTATATTCACTGGAAATATGATAATAAGCGATGTCTCCAAGATCGCAGAAAGTTGTCCTCCGACCCCCGACCTCCCTCTATTGAGAGGGAGCGACTCCCTCCTTGCCTATCCGCAATTCGGTAATGATGCGCTTTAGGTGAAATCTGTGACTTCACATTAGCCTACACGATAGCAGAAGGGAATATAACCAACTGTTTACCAATAGGAGAAACATAAAAATTAAGTTTTCAATCGCTTATCTTGGTCTTAGGCTTTGAATACTTGAATCAATTAAAAAATTATATAAGCAATACAGACCGGAATTTTTTTTTATTCCATATCAAATAGCAGATCAGTCTAACTGCGCAAATGCACCCTTAAATGTAATGAAAAGTATCCTAAATTAAATTACTCTTCAGTGTAAAGACGATCCTTAGTATTTCATATCAATAATAATTTTCTCCCTCATCAATGTGCTTATTAAATAATTTATCGAGCTACTTATTTCGCAATTCAACGATAAGACCATATAATATTCTATATAATTGTTTATTGAGGAAAATAAGATTTTATACACTTTTTTCAAAACGTTAGCCAAAATTCATTTTTATTTTGTTTTGATACATATAACATTTTTTCTTGCATTATCATTTAAGCAAATAACCCATTTGTTATAAATAAATTCAGTGATTTCTTGATAGTAAAAGCTTAATAAAGGGGAGTAATCAATTACTTAATCCGCCTTTTGATTGGTTAGTTTGGATCTTGAATCTCGAAACTCGAATTTCGAATCTCGTATTTCGAAACTCGAATCTCGAATGAGCCTTCTGGGCTTTCGTACGTATGAATGGTTTGATACCATACCCTTTTCTCGTTCATCACGATCCTCTTTATCCTGCAAAATCAAATAAGCTAACAGTTTAATTGTTTTCTTTGGAAACTTATAACATTTGTCTTTCAAGTTACTTTATCTAACAACAAATTAATAATCAAAGTGATCAGAAACATGCACTGATCCTTGTATATCAATTTAACATATGGAATAAATTAATGAGAAGAGACCTATTTTTAGTTTATTGCTCAAATGAATACCTTCATTTTGAATGTATCTGTTATCATGGATACACCGGTGTGAACTGTGAAACTAGTAAGATTAAGCTAGATATGTTCGTTAAAAATTAAGTTGATTGTTGAGTTATTCAAGTATTGCAAAAAAGTCACTAACAGATGTTCATCTTATCGTTGTTTTTTAAACCATTATCATGATTTCAAAAGAACATGTTGTTTACAAATATTGTTTTACTTAGCTATGTTTGTTTTTCGTAATTTAATATCTAACTTGCCTATAAAACCGTAAATAGATAGAATTTTCAATTTTCTATTGCAAAAGAGGCAAAGCATCAGTAAATAAAATATTTTTATTCTGTTGCTTGAGGAACTCTTTTAAAATAAAAAATAAAAAGCCGGAATGGACCTCTTTGCGTCTTTTGAAATATATGTGACAATATGTTGGAGGATTATTTCAACATACTCTAACTTTTGACTGGAAGTAATAATTTTAAGGACCGAGGAATATGAAGTCCTACTTATGATTCTGTATAAGGCGTTCGTGCTACTTATAGATCTATGATATGTTATATGCTTCCAGTATTATGTAAAAAGCATTGTTGAAAGTCACTTGACTTTCCTGCTTAGTCAAAGGAATATTGAATCACAACTAGACTGGTAAGCCTAACGTTACTCATGAGAAAGATTGGAAAGGGGAAAGGGAGGAGGGTAACATCGGATCCGTCATCGCTGGTACGATATATTGATAAACCTTGACATTTCACTGAGGTTAATGAGTACTTTTCTTGTTTTTAATGGACATTTTTGCTGACTATATTTTATAATAACGCAAGAACTTTCACAAATAGAAGTTTCGAGGAATTTACAACTTGAAGCAAGTACTTGTGTCAAAACCGTAAGTGCTATTAAAAGCATACCCTTTGATAAAGCATTTGTTTATCTAATGGGTAGTATTCAAATTCATATTCATCAATTTCTCCTTTCAATTGTCAGGTTAAAGATAAAGTTAATAAAAGGTTAAAACTAGATGTTACAAACTGCAAGTAGGTTAAGACGTGTTATCGATCGTTAGTGTGTGGATATATTCACTAGTATGTGGAATAGTATAAACAGGAAGTAACTGAAATCTTTTGTGGATCAATCAACTGAGATATAAACCCCATATGCAGGTGGCAAGGTGATATTGTTACATAAGTAGGACTAAGGAAGTT